AATTTAAATTAAAAGGTTATGGGGGGGGGGGGGGGCTGTTGCCCAGAGTGGAGCTTTAAAATGTTTTAAAGCTAAAATTTCTGACTTATACTAAATACTTTAGTGTTCTGGATACTGTTAAGGCTACAGAAATATGACATTGTAGCAACATAGAAGCCTGCAAACATTATTCCAGTTGATGATTCCCTAAGCAAATTGCTTGTTAATGACAAGGACACTACTAAGGAAGCATGTGAGACTAAAGTGCATTTAACAGTTTCCAGCTTTTCCATTTCAAGTAAGTAAATGAGACAACTAAAACATCAAATTGCTAATGACTATATGATGTAACTAAAATTGAAAAATGCCTTACCAAATGACTGGCCAAAAGCAAAGTCTTCATGTCCTTTAACATTAGCAGAATTAAAGGACTTTCACGAATAGTCGGTTATTATTGATTAAACTAAGGGTATTATATTACCCTAGAAATTTAAATAACAACCCTGAAACAATTGGAAACAAGTGCAGATACCGAATAAAGGGTTTCTGACTATGGCTACTGTAGCAGAGCGTCCCAGAGGGAGCCTGGGAAAGTCCTGTTCGGCGTTCACAGGTCTCCCAGGTTCCTCTCCTATTCATTTAGGGATTGCTGATCCAGGCAACCAGCGCAGTGTTTATTGGTGATATTTACAAAAGTATTCACAGGTGCTGTACAGTGGTTCACAAGAAACTAACAAAAGTAAAACCTAGCCGTACCCCGGCACTAACTTCATACACAAAAAATATAAGTCCTAACTAACAGGCTGAGCAGGCCTACCGCTTGTCAGCCTCCACATACACTTTTTGCTAGTTTTCACCAACCTTGCAGCTCTCTCAGACAGGACTTGTCTGATCCCCAGGCCGAGAGCTCTGACTACAGGTTCCAGGTGAGATTAAATTTCCAGTGGAGAGAGGAGTAAACCGTGCACTGGTGCCCGGATCAGCAATCCCTAAATGTATAGGAGAGGAACCTGGGAGACCTATAAACTCCGAACAGGACTTTCCCAGGCTCCCTCTGGGACGCTCTGCTACACTACCCAAAGACACAAGATAGTACTAACCAGACCGTTAAAAAAAATCTTTAATTTTAATGTATAAAATGTCCTTCCATAAACAGTAATATACCTATTCGGCAAAAAGATCTATAGTGTCAGATAATATTGCACAAATTCTTACAAAAGCAGACAAAGTTCATGTGTGTGGATTATGATTGTTCAATTATCTTGGTGTTAAAACAGACAAACAAATACATTATTTGCCTTAGCAGAAATGGGTGCAAGATTGTAGCTCTACAGGCTGATTGTTCCAGCTACATTTGTTTCAAATTAATAGTGATCTTTCTTAGATGAACATATTTTTCACTCTGAGTCAACCATTTCTTTAGATTGCTATCCTTCTAAATGCCCAGATGGACCTAAAGCTATCAGCAAGGGGGCAGATGTTTTACTGGGAATTATGGATAGTGAGCCTCCTGTCCATCGCTAAATGCATACCACAGAAAGCCGTTACATGATGTTCTCTCCTAGCACGCACATGGTAAAATAAACCATATAGCCAAGAGTTTGTGGACACCTAACTAACACAACTACATTATAAAGCCAAACGGATGTAGACACCTCTCCAAATGATTGAGTTCAGGTGTTTCCATTTAGGGAAACTGTTAATGCTACAGCATACAAAGACATCTTAGATAATTGGGCACTTCAAACTTTGTGGCAACAGTGTGGGACTTTGGACACAAAGTCAGGTTCATAAAGACATGATTTGACAACATTGCTGTGGAGGGACTTGAGTGGCCTGCACAGAGCCCTGACCTCAACTCAACTAAACACCTCTGAGATGAATTGAAACACTGGTTGCCCACCAAGTCTTGTTCAACAGGACTACCTGACCTCACAAATGCTTTATTTTTTTTACTTAATTGGCAAACATTCCCCCAGACATACTTTAAAGTATTGTGGAAAGCCTTCATAGATAAGCGGAGGCTGTTATAGTCCTAAAGTTCTCATATGATTGCCCATAGTTTGGAATAGGATGTCCACCAAACTCATACAGGAGTGATGATCAGGTATTCACAAACTTTTACCAATATATATTGTGTACTCATATTGATTGCATAGCTTACAGGGATGTCCACATTACACCAAGAATTGGAAGCATTTAAGATGCAGGTTTAGGAGTTTAGCTAGAAGCAAAATAAAAACTTATTGTTACAGTTAAACATAGCCTTTAAAAGAAAAAAAAGCATTCTCCCCAAAACACACACTCACTTTTTGTCACTATTCCGCTTGATGATGAAAGTAATTGTCTTCTTGATGATGAGGATCAATATGAGCAATCCAATCACACCACCAACAACAGACACAATAATAAGAGTCAATGTGTTATCCACAACCTCAACTGTGGAGAAAAATGGTGCCAGTGTTAGAACAAATACTGATGGAAGAATGAAATATACGTAAGAACAATTGTATTTTAAAACTAACAATCCAAGTATCTATTTTTATTTGCATTAAAAATATAGATTTCACACTATTCCAGAGTTATTGTGAATGTATATGCAAGCACATGATCATTGTTCCTGTTTGGAAAGAAAAAAAATAAAATAAAGACAAGAAAAAAAAGAAAGAAAAAGTAGAAATGTGCATCCCATTTCCCCTTTAGTAGCTCCAAATTAAGATAATCAAAAAGAAGTGCTTCTTGTCTCGTTATTTTCAGCTGCTCACAATAAGCAATTTCAATGAGTGGCTTTACTATTAAATCTTTGTAAATAAAATTAACAGTGGGAATAAAGCATATGTATTGATTACTGATCACTTTTTTTTGCTTTTTGTTGTTATCAAATCCTGAAAACTTACTTTTACAAAAATGTCAGTGATAGTGCTGTGAATGGTGCTGAGGCTGTAGAAGATGGCTTCTGGCATGATGCATATCTGGGGTGAGTGACATGGCTAGCCACAAATTCCCTATACAGTACGTCAGCCTCCATGCGGGTGGCCCCAATGCTCAGTCTTAGTAACAAAAATCTAGTTGACTGTGCTAATGACTGTGTGTTGGCCTTTTAGTTTGTACTACAGCATTCTGTGGTGACAATGATGCACCTCAATAGACTATAACAGAAACACTGGTTTTGTCAACCTTTTACAAGTTACAGGAAAGGCTAATATTTTCAGGATCACCTGTCAGAAGTGCACATAGAGGAAATGTAAGTATGCAGTACAAAAACATAAACTTCACATGTTCTCATGAGGCAAACTACCATTTTGCAATTTTTCATTTTGGCTTTACATTCACTTTAAACTCTGCCATTGACATTCTGACATTCACATTAAACTCTGCACTATAACAATGAAAGTCTGTGTACCCTGCTTTAAGATATTCCCACGAATCGGGTTTCTTGGAAAATAATGCAGGTACTTTGAATTTTTAAATTGCATCTTCCCCCCTTATGAACTCAATGTCTAGAGTAGCAGCTGGGGAGCAATTAGGTGGGGTGAGAACTTGGTTTCAACCAAGACGTAGAAGGAACCAGGATTTCATCTCATTACAAATGTTCAATATTTTCCTAGCCCATGTATAAAATTGAATGCACCCCAACCTTGTGTCATTGTCAGGGACCAGGACACCTCCATCTGGCACCGTGGAGCTAGAGCAGATCCTGCAGTTCCAGTGCTCATCAGCAGCTGTCTCTGGGCAGTCAGTGGCTGTCTGCGACTTGAGCACCTCCAGGTGACGCTGGAACAAGGACCTGCAGCTCCAGGGCTCACCTGCAGGTGACTCTGCAATTAGGCACCACCTGGTGTTACCTGGGAGGGTATTTAATCCCTCCCTGCAGTAAGCCTGGTGCCACAGTATTGTCGCCATTTCCTGTATCCTGTTTCCTCTGACCTGTTTCCTCTGACCTATTTCCTGCATCCAGGTGCTTCCTCGTATCCTGACCATTGATCTGTGACTCCCATTGTGTAACCTTGCTCCCCAGGTTCACTTGCCTTATTACCTTTTGTATAGGATTGTGTTTGCATTTAGTTTGCTTTTATTGGTTCCTTGTGCTTACCTGTTTTCGCTGTGTTGAATAAACTGTGTGCTTATACGCATTGTCTGGTGTGGTCACACATTTGGTCCTCCCGTAGAGATACCTGTACGCGGTGTGGGGACACCCATGCACGGTATCACTGACAGTCATGCTACCCTTGTATACTCTTCTTTCTATTACCCCAACATACAGCACTACACAGTGACACTTACATTTGTCTACCACTGTAAGGAAAATTGTAGCATTGCTTTGTGTATCCTTTTCCTTTTTATTTTTCACAATACAGGTGTATCTTCCTGCATCATCAAATTCCACTTCACTTAATACCAGTGTTAAATTGTATTCTTTGGTGCTATCGCTGGGTAGCAAAGTTACTCGACTCTGCCGATAACTTTTGTCTTCTATTTCAATGATTTTAGGGGTTGACTTCTTGTTCTTGAGAGTTCCCTTTACAAGCTATACATAAAACAGAGGAGAAAGGATTGTTACAGCATTAAATGTAGTGCAAAATAAAAGACAATTCAAGTAGAAAAACATATATGAAATAAAGTATGACTACATTTGACATGACCTGGGTGGTAACTATATGTAAGGGATCCTGTTGCCAAACCATTCATTTCAACAAAAACATATCTAACATATATTATTCATGTTATTTACTTGTACAAGCCTTCCTTGTCAAGAGATTTAAAAGGCCCAAGACTACTGATTGGATGTGATGTCAGCAGCCTCAGCTGACTCGGAGCTATTGTATTCCCTTTGTATTCCCTTTAGCTATTGTAGCGCTCACCCCCGAAGGAGCCGCTGAATATTGAAATAGGTTCTCCTACCTGTTGGTTCCAGCTGCCATTCCCCTTTAATCAGCAACAGCACACCGACACTCACGGACAGAACGGCTCGAGTCTTAGGGTCTTTTTTAGGGTATTTATTTGCAACATCAATAGGAGAGAGAGGGTTTAGGATCTGTAGGATGCCATTTGGAAATACTTCTGAGGACAGCTTTCTCCCCTAGCAACCGCTAAGGCCGAAATCACTGCGATCTGGTCCCAGGGACCAATAGTAGTAGTAGTAGTAGTACTGTGAACAGATACCTGGAATAGGGTGTGGGATCTCCCTTGTGGGTCCCAGACGGACGCTCGCACCAGCTCCTCTGCGGTACCCCTCAACAAGCGGACTCCTCCCCGACCCAGCTTCCATCAGGTATTTTCCTCTTTAGGATCTGGAACTTCTGTGCCCTCAGCATCTGCAACTGCCAAGGAGCACTCCAGTTAAATGAGAGTATCTTCTTAGAACAAGGCACCCAACACCTGCCACGTGTATGGGCCCAGTGAGGTATTTTTTCGTAGCAACAGGATCTGGAATCTCTGTGCCCTCAGCATCTGCAACTGTCAAGGAGCACTCCAGTTTAGTAGTAGTATCTTCTTAGAACAAGGCACCCATCACCTGCCACGTGTATGGGCCCAGCAAAGTATCAGTGTATCCTAGGCCTCTAGGTCCCTCAGCACCTGCCATGTGCTGAGGCCCAGGCCAGTTTCCTGCATCACACACAGTCCTCCTAGGGCGAGGCCCCTAGGGGAAGAGAGCTCTCCACAATGTCCCCAGACCTTTTATTACCTGCCCTCAGCATGCCTCTGAGTCATCCTACTCAGGGATTGGCTAGGGTCAGGTGCATAGTCATAACCTGAGGGTGGATCCTCCCTCACTGTATGCCAAGGCTCCCTTTTCCTCAGCAACAGGAGGAGCAATCAATCCAGCAGACTCAGGGACACCTATAGAATGCAGAGCTCTGTATAATCAGTATCTGGACTGGTTACAGTCCAGGTATCTCTAAATTGAATAGCGACATCTTAGAGGGCGCTACACTATTGTATTCCCTCCCAGAAGAGGAAAGGGCTATGATGTGCAAAGAGGGAGGGGGCTGTTTTAGAGAATTTACTCTTCCAGGAGTAATCAAAAAAATTAGCAAGTTCAAAGGCACATTGCAACTGAAAAACAATCATATATGCAAAGGAAAAACTTTTCAAGCATTATTTTTATTTTATTTTGTTGGGAGCTTTTTTAAGTTTGGTGTGCCTAATTTGGAGCATACACTTGTTACTGATCATCTATTCTTTAAGCTGCCTTTTGTTAACAGCACGCCTCTGTAGTTAAAAGAAAAAAACGAAGTGCAAGAAGAACACTGAGTGCACCTAATCCACCACACATTATATCACTCACAATCACCACACCCCCTATTCCCCCAGACTAAAAAAAAAAGTTAAAAAAAAAGTTAGGCATACACCAGTTAGGCCTATTATTCCTGATTAAACATGCCCTTCTGCTGGTCAATTTTACACTGATGTGTGTGACTGTGCTCCTTGTCTCTAGAAAATGTGGGGCTAGCTGCTGTATCATCATTTGCAGTCTCTTAATTTTTCATGAGAGCTTGATAGAAATTGGCCAGTGGCAGGAGACTTTTGCATCAGCGAGAACAAAGACAGTCACTGTGAACTACTGGCAAATTTCTATGTACCAGTAGTTGCTGTTTATTAAATAAACAAGTTATTCTGCTATTGCTACCTGGAAAAAAAAAGATTTTTTTTCCATGAATCAGATTGTGGTGCTATTGCTGTATGTATGCCAAGCTAAATGCAAAAGAAAAAAAACAATTCCACAGCCAACTTTATGCTGTCAGTGTACTGTGCCGCTCAGCCTGGCATGAAAATCACACTGCTCCGTAGCACCATGTCCAGCTTTAAGGCATTCCCCAAGCATGTTACTTGAATGATTTGTGTATTTTCAATGTTGCCCTTGAAGTCACATGAAAAGACCCCCTCTCACTGCTGTATGGTATTTTATTTATTTTTTGTTGTTTGCATTGGTACATATTCCCTATGGCAGTGCCTAGCAATGCCATTTTTGGCAGCAGATTACTTATTAGCCCTAAAAATGGTCAGAATTTAACAAGAATAACCCACATTAGGTCTCAATGGGATTAGCTTCTAAGTTTGGGTTTGCCAAATTTCAAACAAGGAGCACTGAACACTGTAAGTTCTGTCATATAGTCTGACATTTCTGGGTCTAGTGCCCGGGGCACACACCACGAGTTGCAGTAGCATGAGTACTTTTGTTCATACATCTAAACCTGACCTAGGGTGCTCCTCTAAAGACTTGGCAGCATTGATCCTTCCATTAATGTAAAAAATTACTCCAACATGCTGGGATGTTCCCTGCAGCAAGAGGAAGAAGAATGAAGGGGAGATTAATCAGTGGACACGTAAGTATACAGATTACTATAGTCTACCCTACTGAAAACTCTGCCTTTCAATGTAAGTCCATCTGGCTATCTTTGGGTGCAGATCTGCTAAATTGTTTGAATTGCACCCCACCAAGTCTTTGCCAAATCTTCAGCACAGGGGTGTAGGAGGGCAAGTCACTGCCTACATACTGCCAAATACCTGGCATACTGTGAAATGTTTCTGATGCGGAACTTAAAGGAGAACTATGGGGTCAGGGCTTTTCCCCATAGTTCTCCTAAAGGTAACGGGAGGACACAAACTAGCGTCCTCCTGTCTCCCTAAGCTCAGTATACAGCGAGCTACTATGCCTGCCCCCTCCTCCGTCCTTTCTGCCAGTCAGCGCTGGAGGATCGGTCAGAGGAGGGGAATCCCTGCAGGGAGCCGTGAGTGACAGTCACGGCTCTCTGCAGGGATAGTTCGAGAAGTGAGCAAGCGACGCTATGTGTTCGCTCACTTCCCGTTCTATTGAGCCGATCTGTGACAGTTTCATTGTCACAGGTCGGCTAGAACTAGGAGGCTGAGTGATTTTCACTCGCCTCATAATTCTCCTTTAAGTATCATAGTTTACCACATTAGGTTTTGTGAGGGCACTGTACCCATTGCATCTTCTTTTGTTTTCCTTCCTGGATCCGTGGTCTCATGGTTTAGGAAGAAGTGATAATATGTAGCATAAGATAATATATGTAAAGTATCTCTAGAGTAATATGTAGGTAAGATAATTATAATATGAGGTATAGCATGGTAACATGATTAATATACAGGGAGAGGCCTAAGTAACATAAATTAAAAATAAGGTTAACGTTGACAGAAATTATTTTAAATGGCAAAGGTGGGTTAATGAAAAGTGATTCCTCAGACCATTGTCTACCTAGAATCTATTTGTTATACCAGGACATTGTGGTAATCAAACGATGCCCTCAACTCACAATGTCTCTTGAAATCTTTGTAGCAAAGTTGGTAACCATAATGCAGTGCCTGACCTTTGAACTATGGTCAGCAGGGTTAAAACGGCCAATAACTGAGGCTTTGTATTATACCAGTCCCTTTACTATAAAAGGGTGGGTTCCCATCAGCCATTTTTCAGTGTGTTGGGAGTTGTTAAGAGAGAGCTGACAACATGTGTAGGAAGAATTACTTGCTATACAGTGCTATACCGTACTGCATCACCCTAAATTACTGTGGATTGCGCTGAGGTGGGCTACATATTCTTGTGTAACCCCCATGTGTCTTAAAATTTGCAGCCTATTCCAGGATTGTAAAGGTGCCATACAATGGATCTGCAGCTGGACCTCAGGTGCCAAATTTCTAATGATTGCTGAAGGGTAAATCCTGCTTTGTTTGCTGCCTATTTCAGTGGCTATTGTCCTTCAGATAATATACTTGAATATTTATCTCAAGATAAAACCTGTTCTATCTCTCTCTCTCTCTCTTTTCTACTATGGCCTAACCAGGCTGCTTACCTACTGTCCTGCCACTGTATAATATTTGTGGCTATTATCCCTGAAAAGTAAACTATAATTTTTATTTGAGGATAAAGCCTGCCTCGTGTCTCTTATATTTTGGCCTAACCACGCTGCTTGCATACTGTCTATGCACCGGACAATATTTGTTGAACATGAACTGCATCATATTGGGGTGCCGCTATTGTATTTAAACCAAGCTAAATTGAAAGTTCAAATATAATTTACACATCCAAAATATGTGATCCCAGAATATGGTGTCACTGATGCTGTCTATGAAAATCGTACTGTTCCTGTTAAAACAACACATACATTTAAAGGCATCTCCCATGCATGTCATTTTAAAGATTGATATTTTCTGCATGTCATCCTCAAAGTCACATTAAAAGGGCTCTCTTCCTGCTGTATGGTATTTTAAATGTTTTTGTTTTTTCTGTATCAGTGTCTCCCATGGCAGCAATCAGGTCTCCATGCCCTTTTTTTACAGCTTTTTTGACAGATTTCCTATAAGCCTTGAAAACAGCCAGAATTTAGTATCAACATTTGCCCCCCAATAGACTCCAATGGGATTCAATGCTAAGGTCTGATTCTCTCCGATCTGTCTCTCCGCACTCTGTCTCTTGGATGTCTCTCCTCTATCCCCCGGCTGTCTCTCCTTGTTCTCTCTCCTGGCTGTCTCTCCTTGTTCTCTCTCCTTGTTCTCTCTCTTGTCTGTCTCTCCTCACTCTCTCTCCTGGCTGTATATCCATGCTCTCCCTCCAGTCTGTCCTTACTCTCTCTCCTGTCTTTTTCTCTGCACTCTCTCCTGGCTCTCTCTCTCTCTCCTTTCCCTCCTTGCTCTCTCTTCTCACTCTCTCTCCTTTCTATCTCTCCTCACTCTCTCTACTGGCTGTCTCTCCTCAACCTCTCCCCTGGCTGTCTCTTCTCACCTTCTCTCCTGGCTGTCTCTCCTCATGCTCTCTCTTGGTTGTCTCTACTCTCTCTCTCCTGGCTGTCTCTCCTCGCTCTCTCCCATGGCCATCTCTCCTGGCTCTCTCTCCTGGCTCTCTCTCCTGGCTCTCTCTCCTGGCTGTCTCTCCTCGCTCTCTCTCTCCTGGCTGTTTCTCCTCGCTCTCTCTCCTGGCTGTCTCTCCTTGCTCTCTCTCCTGGCTTTCTCTCCTCACTCTCTCCCCTGGCTGTCTCTCCTCTTTCTATCTCCTGGCTGTCTGTCCTCGCTCTCTCCCGACTCTCTTTTCTGGCTGTCTCTCCTCGCTCTCCTCACTCCCTCTCCCAGCTGTCTCTACTCTTTCTCTCCTGGCTCTCTCCTCACTTTCTCCCCTAGCTGTCTCTCCTCTTTCTATCTCCTGGCTGTCTCTCCTCGCTCTCTCCCGACTCTCTTTTCTGGCTGTCTCTCCTCGTTCTTCTCACTCTCTCTCCCGGCTGTCTCTACTCCTCTCCTGGCTCTCTCTCCTCACTTTCTCCCCTGGCTGTCTCTCCTCATTCTATCTCATGGCTGTTTCTCCTCTCTCTCCCCTGGCTGTCTCCCCAACTCTGTTTCCTGGCTGTCTCTCCTGGCTCTCTCTCCTAGCTCTCTCTCTCTTGTCTGTCTCTCCTCATTCTCTCTCTTGTCTGTCTCTCCTCACTCTCTTTCCTGGCTGTCTCTCCTGGCTATCGTCACTCTCTCTCTCTCTCTTGGCTGTCTCTACCCTCTCTCTCCTGGCTGTCTTTCCTCGCTCTCTCTCCTGACTGTCTCTTCTTACTCTCTCTCTTTGCTGCCTGTCCTCGCTCTCTCTCCTGGCTGTCTCTTCTCACTCTGTCTCCTGGATGTTTCTCACTCCTGGCTGTCTCTCCTTTCTCTCACTCCTGGCTCTCTCTCCTCTCACTCACTCCTGGCTCCTGTAAAGGATGATTGGTGGCTACTTTACAACACACACAGGGACCATGGGGAACAAAAGTTGCCACCCTCCAGAAGAAAGGACAGTGTCGGCACGAATTCAGAGATGATTTGAGGATCTACAGCCGAGTGATACACAAATAAGATACATTTTTAATAATAGATAAGGTACTTGAATGTATTTTTAAGATTTAACTCCTAAATTTAGTGTTTCTTTAATATACTGTTTTATCCTGAAACATGCTACTTGCCATCATACAAGACGATATACAAAGAATTTAGTCATAAACATTACTATGACTGCTCCTGGAAAGATGTTGTACTAAGGGGGAAAGACTCTATGGCAAGATATGACTATACACTGGTGTGTTTAACAAGGTTATACCCAAATTCTAAAAAAATACATCAGCCAGACATGCCCCTCCAAATCTGATAAAGTTTGGTACTCATGGCTGGATACATCAAAGTATATCTAGACTGCCATTAATTGTACTGTGCAGATGATCAAGTCTTGTTCTTCCTTTATAACACAATAGTTACTGATGACAGCCCCAATCACCCCCTTGGCATCTGAACCTGCTACGGCGTGCACTAAGTGCTTTGTAGCACAGAGTAACTGCAACACTTCTGAATTGTGGTTACCCAAGAAATCCCAACACTGTCACCTCTGAGGTAATTATGATTTTCTTTGAGATTCAGCAGCCATCTTAAAGCAGAGTTGATCTCTCCTGTCTCCCCCTACAGCAATACATTGCTACACTAGGAATCTACTGCTTGCTAATACCAGCTGGCAATAGTCCACTATTATAAGTAGTCTTTTGTTGCAAAGGAGCATAGGGAGAGGGGGCATCCCCATGATGGAAAAATTTTATTAAATGTTTAAAACAAAAAATTAACAAATATGCCAATTAGTCCCCAGCTCCCAACGAACACAATGGGAAACATTTTTTGCGCAACTGCATCTAAAATGAGCAGTTTGTTTTTGCATGTTGCATGCAAATATGTCAGCAATAATCTTTGGGTCTGTTTTACAACCAAAGTGACAGTAGTTTTGCTTGATTGTAAAGCCAAATAGCGACTATCTGCCTTTTTTCTCTGTTGTGCAGAAACTTCAAGCACTTATTAAGTGATAAAATTCAATCTCAGACCTGTCGCAGAACTTAGAAGTGCTAAGAAGCACATAATAAACATTCAGGTACATGGTTCAGAATAGATGATTGTGTCCAGGGACAATCATCTTTCCCGAACGGCAGATAATCGTACCATGTGCGATTACATGTGGACTGACGGGGACAGATGTGGCTGCTGTCAGTCTGTCATTAACTTTAACAGGCACATCGGCTATATCTGTATGGACACACCTGAGATTCCTGCCGCAAGGATCCGTAGGTTCTTGCCGCAGGAATCCTAAGCCACAGCCATAAGCCCAGTGTGAATAGAGCTTTGACACACCAATTTAATTTCTCCCAAAACAGTTACGTTTAAGGCCTGCCGACAGTCAAGGTTGGCAGTGTGCTTATTTCAGCTCTCAACCCAACTTTAATTCCTCAAATGGCTGATGTTATAGCTGATAGCACCATGGTAACTGCAATCAAAATAGAGGCTAAGATGGTATCTTCCTTGATTGTAAAGGATAGGAGGGTTTAGGTCGGCTTTAATGATAAGGGTAGCTGCAAAGCTCCACTTGCAACAAAGAACATTTATCCCTGATGCATTCATTCTAAATGAATTATTCCTTTGCTGATACAATAACTAGTTATTTTCAGAGCAATTTAAATTGCTCTGAAACACAAATAATAATATATGTAGAATTCAAAAAAGTTGCGGATATGATTAGCAAATTTAAAAGGAATATTCCTCTATTTCGGAATGCTCACTTCCTCTGGCTTTGACGACTCATTGAACCTGTATTCCCATCTGAATGTCACATCCTCGAATCCGATGCAGGTGGTGAACCAGCAAAGCAGGGAGACATCCGTTCCATTTCGAGCCTTAAAGTGAGGGTTCTTGCCTACGCTTACTTCTAGCGTGAAGCAGGTATGAGCAAGTAGTGTTGCTGAGGGTAGACATAAGTGTTAATTCACATCTTTATACAGTGCATTGAACAAATGATATATGTAACCAATGTCTTTTTGTAATTATGATTTCAAAGGCATCAGATGGGGTAAATATAGTTATTTTCTTTAGTGAAATGCAATATGGTAAAATCGAAAATAGTCACAAATCAATAGACATATAACACTTTATATGCTCTTTGGAATAGATAGATACAAATTTCATTATTTCTAAAAAGCTTTTAGCATTTAAAGATTTTCATTGGACTTGCTACAAAAATAGATCTATCTTTATATAGTACAGAGGGCCCAACATAAGTTTTTTTGACATGCGTGAAAACATTTTCATAGATGGGGTGTGCAAAACCATTCTGCAACCTATATATTCTAAGGAGATGAGTTAAACTTTTAGTAAGTAAACAATTAGGGATTTGTAATCAAGGAACAATATACGCCACATATATAACGGAAAATTGCTGGGGACGTCTCCGGACAATTTTGGGGTGGTGCTGTACTGAAAGAATAAGTGTGAGAGCTGTCCTTGACCCTAAATCTTATTATAATAAAAGCAGACATAACATAAGGAGAAATGCTTAGTCAGAAAATGAACGTTTTACAGGGTTAGTCACAAAAGGGTGAAGAGTTTGGAGAAGGCAGTGTCCCTTACATTGCTGGAGCAAAAACCACCTCTATAACTGGTATAATAGGGAGTTTAAATAAACCATAGACTCCTTGAAGGAATCAATAATGTGGACTGCCCCCCACCCGCCTTGAAGGGATTAAGAGTAAAAATGCGGCATGCATAAAGTGCCGCCTGCCACACTCTTGTAGAAAAGGTCAATCAAGTGGATGTTTTGTCACAGTGTGGATTGTAATATGCAACATTTCCCCCTTGCTTTGCTATGGTTTATACAAAATAGTGCCTTGGGGTATACTGAAGAGATTGTGGGAGTAAAGTAAGCCCCAGTGTTGTGTCACTGTCAGCAATAACCCCCAGCATGACTCAGGGCTAGCTTTAACCAAGGCAATCTTTAACGTAGGGCAAAAGGGGCAGTTGCCCTGGGCCCACTCATTGTTGTGGGGCCCAAAGCAGCTGCCCCTTGGGCCCACAAAAGATACACATGCCCCGGATGCCCAGTGCGAACTGCAAGAGCAACACAAGCACAGTTCTGCAAGCCTGCACCGGGGACTGCAGGGGTGGGGCTCTGATCTCACCAGGGGCAGTGCCTCACTGCCTACTGCCAGGGAGAGAGGGACAGTGTGACATGACTGCTGGGACTGAGAAATATAGATAGTGTGCCATGACTGCTGGGACTGAGAGACAGGGACACTGACTGCTGGGACCGAGAGGGATACTGATTGCTGGGACTAAGAGAGAGGGACTGACTGCTGGGATTGATAGAAGTTAGGTGACATCTCTCAGCCGAGACATGGGCAACAAAAAAACCTGACATAAGTTATAACTCTTCTTCACTAAATTTGCTTTTTGTGTCTCCATTTGGGAGATCACATTTTTCTTAAATGGCTTATTTACTGTATAACACCATGGCTCCAGTTCTCCTGGCTGCAGTTGCTACCTTTTTGTCCCGATGAAGGAGGGTTGTCTGGACCCCAAAACGTATTGGCTGCCTTTTGTTTTTCCTGTTTTCCACTGACAGAACCAATAAAATACATTTGGACTCTCAAAATGTCTGTTTGGCACTCTCTATGGCTCAGCTACACATAGACTTCTTAGTTTGGGTCAACCCTTTCCTTTGAGTGGGAGTGGAGAGCTGTCAAACCAAGGCCATTTGGCTCAACTGAGGTTTTTATTTTTTTACTGGTTGAGGATCTGCATCCAGTGCCATGCTCCTACTTCTTCTTGGATTTGCTGGGGGTTATCATTACGGGCCCTGACAGTTGTTGGGGGTGAATGCCAGGGCTGTCTTTAATATTGATTAAAAGCTGTGCAAACATTTTCTTGGCCATCACCGGCATGCAATTTTGCTCTCCACCCCAACATCCCAATGCATCACAGGAGCAAGCAAGTTAGGCCCCTTTCACATGAGGAGTCCGATCAGGTCCACCTGTCAGATTTTCAGCCGGACCCGATCAGACGCTCTATGGAAGTCTATGGGCAGCTGGGTTTAAACCGTTAGCTCCAGCTAGGTCTGGTAAAGCAGACGGATCATTGATCCGTTTCGACCGACTGGATCGTGCCGCACTGGAGGTAATCTTATGAAAACAGACACATGTCCATTTACATCATATTTCCCATAGACTTGCATGGAGTTCAGCACTTTCAATTAAAAAACTGTACGGACACGGATGTCACTGCAGTATTATCCGATCCATGCCACTCTGATCAGGAGAGGATCGGTTGATGGATCCTCTCCTGATTGGCCATTGTGAAAGGGGCCTTAAGGTACCTGAATGCATTTTTAAGATTTAACTTCTGAGTTTAGTGTCAATTTAATCTGCTTGGTAAATTTAAAGGCTAGAGCCTTCCTTAGTACTAAACAATTTTTTACACAGCTTCAGTACTAGGAAGGGTTATCTGAATGTATTTACAATTGTGAGTTGACCATTATGATGAGTAAATTATCATTAGATAAAACAATGAGTGCAGTTTATATATTTCTCTTTTTTTTTTCCCCCAGCACCAGTGACTGCTTTATAGAGTATTCTCCAGCTGTGAAAAAGTAAAGGGGACAAAAACATCCATATTTAATGCGTAACAGCTGTCAAATTCAATGGCTATGCACTTTCCTAAGTAATCATGTTATTTAAATTAAACAATTTGTTGAAGGTTCATCTCTGTCTGGCAAGTTTTAAATGTTCCTGGCAAATGTGCAGAGAATGTAGCATGTGACACAGTAATTATTTTTCCCATTATAGAGTAGATGTTGGCAATTATTGAGTGCATTTCCTCTCCCTTAGCGAATGTGGATTATAAATAGGAGGTAAATATTGCCAAGGGAATTTCTGCAAAAGTAAAGTTGAATATACTTCTAAATTCTTGTACATTTGTCCTTTTGTAAGCTGTCTCAGTTTCCGATTCATGGAAAACAGGCTTTATATAGTTAAATGTCAAGTTGACAAGTTTAACTGCAGCACTGCGAGTTTTTTCTTCAGTGTATATCAATTAGTCCCACCGACCCAAATGAACTGATGTTACATACTACAAAAAACTCTTTTAATACATTAAATGTTTGGTGTGGTCCTTTCTTCTCTGTCTGTGAACCCAATGTGGTCACCACAACATATCAGCACCTAATGCACCTTTGTCCTTATTAAGCTGGTTTTTAACAGGTCTAATCATTAATAATATAGTTTCCTGTATCCTTGCAGAAGAAGCAAATGCACACCATTTATAGGGCATGATCACTTAATGTCCTCCTATGCTGCTATGGCAAAAAAAAAAAGGAAAAATGGACAACATTACACATCAACATTATAGCCACCATGAACCACCTGAAGATCAAGTTATACTACTGTCCACAGACATAATTTGGGTTTTGGAACACTCACAACATATATTGGGTTTCACCAAAATCACACCTAACACAGCCATATAATATTTCAGGGATTTGCATACAGTATGTTGAGGGTTAAAGTGTACATAATGGAAAAACTTTTTTTTTTTTGATAGAGTAGGGAAGGGTTAAACCCTCTGTCAAGTTTTTATTGTGATCTGTGTCCCTGCTGGGGAGAGTTACCCCTTCATCTGTCCTGGTGACCACTGTCACTGGAACATAAAATAAATTGAAATTCTAAATGTTAGAGTCGTCATGATAGCATAAGATAAGGGGAAATCTTCCAATGGACACAGATTTTCTGATGACAACTTTAAGTCTTTAAGATGGGAATTCCTCTCACTCTGAGATTTCCTCTCACTTCCTTTAGCATCTGCAAGCCAGGAGGTGAAGGGAAATCTCCCCAGTGGTAGACAGGCAGCAATAAATAAAAATCCAATACAGGTCTGCACCATTCCCTACTCTAACAAAAACAAACATAGACCTTAATCCTTGTTGGTTCATTCTATTGGCAGCTTCCTCAACACTAGTTTTATTGGTTCTCTCCTGAGGCTCGTGCTATTTGGAGTCTTCTGTTGGCAAATGTTCCTCTTGTATTCACCTGTGGGCACCTGAGTTTCCTTTATGCTTTCATGCATGCTGTCTACCTGGAGGAAAATTGCTGTGAACACGCATGCGTCTTCCCTTCTGATTTTTCAGTTCCCATTTTTAGGGCCACTGTCTCCACCCTCAAGTTGCTTCTCATAGATTGTATTTGCTGTATTTTGAATTTTCTTTACTGCTGATATTTTGCATCATAACCCTGACTGAATTCCCCCTGTAGTGACCTTTCTGTAATTTTCATGTGTTTGATACCTGTTCTGCTTTTGGTTATTGCTAGCTATGAACCAACTATAAACCTGGTGAAGGGAAGTCACTAGCACTCCAGCATAAATACAAGTCAATATTTATTGACTTAAAAGTGTCACATAATTACTGGCGACATTTCGGAACCGCATGGGTCCTTCCTCATGCAAAACAGAGAGTCAACTATAAACCTGTCTCTCTCTTTGGCACATCTATGCCCAGTTAGTTTTGACCAACTCTCTACTAAATTATTTTCTTCTTACTGATAATGCTCTTGCTTAATTATCTGTTCTGTCCAGTATTTGGTTATCTGTTCTGTTTGTCATTGCTTGCCTCTGCTAGGATAAGGTTACCTTGTCTAGTCTCTAATTTGCTTTGTAAGTTCCTAAGGGCAGGGCAAGCATATAAAGCATAAAGCCAAAGGTAGCTCCTAAAGGTGTAGAGTGATGCAGCAAGTTACTAAGCCTGAGCTGTTGCCCATATTTTACATTATGGTGGCCTAGACATCATTTAACTTGTGGTTAGATTTTAGGCACTCCCTATTTCTGTAGGTGAGCTGGCCACCCAAGTAGCTCCTCAGAAAAAAAAAGGCCCGGAAGGATTTAGAAGCTTCTAAGCTATACCCCTACTTGAAAAGTTCT